CGATCCATCTATCCATCTATCCATCTATCCATCTATCCATCTATCATCTATCCATCTATCCATCTATCCATCTATCCATCTATCCACTATCTATCTATCTATCTATCTATCCATCTATCTATCTATCTTGAAATGTTTTGGCTCTATGAAACCTGATGTACTTATATGATTCTGTTTTCTTCAAGTTTGTATCTTCCTGGTCGAATGCACTTATTGTAAGTCGCTTTGGATAAAAGCCTCAGCTAAATGCAATGTCATGTAATGTAATGAATACAGATAAAAGCAAGTCATGATAATAAATAAAACATTCACAATACGCACTCATACTAACACCTACACCCACACATCAGTGCTGACACTGTTGGTTATTAATGAGCCACTTTTTAATACTGTGCTTGAATGTGTAGTAGGATGAGGATTCTCTTATTGGTTGTGGTATTGAATTCCATTGATGGGATGCGTGGAATGAAAAGACAGCCTGGCTGAATGCACGTTTCCTAAATGGGATGGTGGCTCTATCTATCTATCTATCTTAAGCTGCCATGAAAACGTCAGTCTAGATCTGACAGTAAAGTATTATGGTATGGTATCATCCTGCCGTGTGGTATTGTGTATTTCTAAATGTCGGCGTGTTGCTATGATCTCACGTCTCTCCCGATGAGGTCCTCCTTGTTCTCGATGATTCCCCACGGGGCGATGCCGATGGCACAGACCTTCCCTCTGGACTTTGACGAGTGGTCTTTGAGAGCGTCCCCCACGTGACGGATCACTCCTGAAACACAGATCAGCTGGAAGTTCATGAAGAGTTTAAAAAGGTAATATCAACTGTAGCTTCACCCAGAGAGGATTCTATTTATTTCTGGCCATCACAACATTAGACTGAAATATGTAAAAGAGAGCTGAAATATATGGACATTCAGATGGACTGAAGGATGTAGAAATGTCCTCAGATTGGGGTCTAGGTCCTGGTTTCAGTGCAGGATCTGATGCAGGAGATCAGTTTCATGCAGCAGATACAGCACCTCACAAAACATGTGACGCATCAATTAAACTGATTTTATGTTTGCATTATTCTCAGAGTAAAGCGTGCACCCCCCTATCTGCATCCCACCGAACAGCACCTGGGTCTGAACCGAGTCTGTATCAAACTGAATCCATGAAGCTCTCTAAGGAGACCCCCGGACATCCTGTTAGCTGCAGGACCGTATGAACCAACATTTCAAACCCCTCCCTCTAACCCTGCACCTGTAGAGGCAAAAGAAGTGAGGAGCGCTTTGTTACCCGTGCTGACCCCCCCGGTGAAGATCCAAGCTCCAGTGGTCACCGCCGCTTTGATCAGGCCTTTCCCAAAAACCTGTTTCAGTTTTGGGGGCAGCTCGAAGTTCTGCAGGCCCCCGTGAACGGAGATGAGGAGGGTGGGGAGCTCCAGCTCCCAGTCCTTCACCATCAGGTGCAGCAGCGAGTCCGCCTTCGAGTCGTACGACACCCGGATGTACTGGAACATTAAGTGTCTTAATATGATATTTCATGTTTTATAATACCTATATGTATATCATATGATATATAATGTTAATGTATGATATATAATGTTAATGTATGATATGTAATGTTAATGTATGATATATAATGTTAATGTATGATATATAATGATATATAATGTTAATGTATGATATATAATGTTAATGTATGATATATAATGATATATAATGTTAATGTATGATATGTAATGTTAATGTATGATATATAATGATATATAATGTTAATGTATGATATGTAATGTTAATGTATGATATATAATGATATACAATGTTAATGTGTGATATATAATGCTGTATAATGATATATAATGCTGTATAATGATATATAATGTTAATGTATGATATATAATGTTAATGTATGATATGTAATGTTAATGTATGATATATAATGTTAATGTATGATATGTAATGTTAATGTATGATATATAATGTTATATAATGTTAATGTGTGATATATAATGATATATAACGTTAATGTGTGATATAATGTTAATGTATGAAATATAATGTTGTATAATGATATATAATGTTAATGCATGATATATAATTATATATAATGTTAATGTATGATATATAATGTTGTATAATGATATATAATGTTAATGTATGATGTATAATGTTGTATAATTATATATAATGTTAATGTATGATATATAATGTTCATGGATGATATATAATGTTCATGTATGATATATAATGTTCATGTATGATATATAATGTTGTATAATTATATATCATTTTAATATATGATATATAATGTTAATGTATGATATATATTGTTAATGTATGATATATAATGTTGTATAATGATATATAATGTTCATGTATGATATATAATGTTAATGTATGATATATAATGTTCATGTATGATATATAATGTTGTATAATTATATATCATTTTAATGTATGATATATAATGTTAATGTATGATATATAATGTTAATGTATGATATATAATGTTGTATAACGATATATAATGTTCATGTATGATATATAATGTTAATGTATGATATATAATGTTCATGTATGATATATAATGTTCATGTATGATATATAATGTTGTATAATTATATATCATTTTAATGTATGATATATAATGTTAATGTATGATATATAATGTTAATGCATGATATATAATGATATATAATGTTAATGTATGATATATAATGTTAATGTATGATATGTAATGTTCATGTATGATATATAATGTTAATGTATGATATATAATGTTCATGTATGATATATAATGTTGTATAACGATATATAATGTTAAGGTATGATATATAATGTTCATGCATGATATGTAATGTTCATGTATGATATATAATGTTGTATAACGATATATAATGTTAATGTATGATATATAATGTTCATGTATGATATGTAATGTTCATGTATGATATATAATGTTGTATAACGATATATAATGTTAATGTATGATATGTAATGTTCATGTATGATATATAATGTTGTATGATGATATATAATATAGAGTATGATAGTGTGTGTGATATTACCATGGCCTTGTTGACGTGCCCCCCCCCCTGGAACTCAATGAGTCCATATGCGTCGGTGCCGGAGCTCTGCGTGTGCTTCGGGGGGGTCCATCTCTCTGCAGGGGCCTCAAGCTGCACCACCGGCCCCCCCCCCCTCTTCAGGGGCACCCCCCGGGACCGACGGGTGCTGGGACACCAGCTGACCACAGCCGCACCTGAAATACAACAACAAAAACAAACACACACAACCCTTTCAGTCAAGCAGCAGAGAGACAGCAGGGAATATGAATGGATGAGTACAGGGAGCTGTGAGGTTATTAGGATAACTTCAGACATTGGAACATTATGATGTCATCAGTCAGGTGCTGAGTCGCATTAATAAGTGACCCCCCCCCCCCCCCCCCCCCCTCTGTAGAGCTGGATCTGCTGCATTACCTGCTGGCATCTTTGCTGGGAATTATCTGCATGCATTCTCTCTTCTGGAAGGTTCTCTCGATCCACGCTCGCTGAGTCTGAACACAAACCGGAAGAGACAGGATTACGTTACAGTGTCAACTGAAGGAAGTTACAACGTAAACTGAGAGAGGTACAGCGTAAACATAGAGAGGTTACAGCGTAAACTGAGTGAGGTTACAGCGTAAACTGAGAGAGGTTACAACGTAAACTGAGAGAGGTTACAATGTAAACTGAGAGAGGTTACAACGTAAACTGAGAGAGGTTACAATGTAAACTGAGAGAGGTTACAACGTAAACTGAGAGAGGTTACAACGTAAACTGATAGAGGTTACAGCGTAAACTGATAGAGGTTACAGCGTAAACTGAGAGAGGTTACAGCGTAAACTGAGAGAGGTACAGCGTAAACTGAGAGAGGTTACAGCGTAAACTGAGAGAGGTTACAGCGTAAACTGAGAGAGGTACAGCGTAAACATAGAGAGGTTACAGCGTAAACTGAGTGAGGTTACAGCGTAAACTGAGAGAGGTTACAACGTAAACTGAGAGAGGTTACAATGTAAACTGAGAGAGGTTACAACGTAAACTGAGAGAGGTTACAACGTAAACTGAGAGAGGTTACAACGTAAACTGAGAGAGGTTACAACGTAAACTGATAGAGGTTACAGCGTAAACTGAGTGAGGTTACAACGTAAACTGAGAGAGGTTACAACGTAAACTGAGAGAGGTTACAGCGTAAACTGAGTGAGGTTACAACGTAAACTGAGAGAGGTTACAACGTAAACTGATAGAGGTTACAACGTAAACTGATAGAGGTTACAGCGTAAACTGAGTGAGGTTACAACGTAAACTGATAGAGGTTACAGCGTAAACTGAGTGAGGTTACAACGTAAACTGAGAGAGGGTACAACGTAAACTGAGTGAGGTTACAGCGTAAACTGAGAGAGGGTACAGCGTAAACTGAGAGAGGTTACAACGTAAACTGAGAGAGGTTACAGCGTAAACTGAGAGAGGTTACAGCGTAAACTAAGAGAGGGTACAGCGTAAACTGAGAGAGGGTACAGCGTAAACTAAGAGAGGGTACAGCGTAAACTGAGAGAGGGTACAGCGTAAACTGATAGAGGTTACAGCGTAAACTGAGTGAGGTTACAACGTAAACTGAGAGAGGGTACAACGTAAACTGAGAGAGGTTACAGCGTAAACTGAGAGAGGGTACAGCGTAAACTGAGAGAGGTTACAACGTAAACTGAGAGAGGTTACAGCGTAAACTGAGAGAGGTTACAACGTAAACTGAGAGAGGTTACAGCGTAAACTGAGAGAGGGTACAGCGTAAACTGAGAGAGGGTACAGCGTAAACTGAGAGAGGGTACAGCTTAAACTGAGAGAGGTTACAACGTAAACTGAGAGAGGTTACAGCGTAAACTGAGAGAGGTTACAGCGTAAACTGAGAGAGGTTACAGCGTAAACTGAGAGAGGTTACAGCGTAAACTGAGTGAGGTTACAACGTAAACTGAGAGAGGTTACAACGTAAACTGAGAGAGGTTACAGCGTAAACTGAGAGAGGTTACAGCGTAAACTGAGAGAGGTTACAACGTAAACTGAGAGAGGTTACAGTGTAAACTGAGAGAGGTTACAGCGTAAACTGAGTGAGGTTACAGCGTAAACTGAGAGAGGTTACAGCATAAACTGAGAGAGGGTACAGCGTAAACTGAGAGAGGTTACAGCGTAAACTGAGAGAGGTTACAGCGTAAACTGAGAGAGGTTACAACGTAAACTGAGAGAGGTTACAGCGTAAACTGAGAGAGGTTACAACGTAAACTGAGAGAGGTTACAGCGTAAACATAGAGAGGTTACAACGTAAACTGAGAGAGGTTACAGCGTAAACATAGAGAGGTTACAACGTAAACTGAGAGAGGTTACAGCGTAAACATAGAGAGGTTACAGCGTAAACATAGAGAGGTTACAGCGTAAACTGAGAGAGGTTACAGCGTAAACATAGAGAGGTTACAACGTAAACTGAGAGAGGTTACAGCGTAAACTGAGAGAGGTTACAACGTAAACTGAGAGAGGTACAGCGTAAACTGAGAGAGGTTACAGCGTAAACTGAGAGAGGTTACAGCGTAAACTGAGAGAGGTTACAGCGTAAACTGAGAGAGGTTACAGCGTAAACTGAGAGAGGTTACAGCGTAAACTGAGAGAGGTTACAGCGTAAACTGAGAGAGGTTACAGCGTAAACTGAGAGAGGTTACAACGTAAACTGAGAGAGGTTACAGCGTAAACTGAGAGAGGTTACAGCGTAAACTGAGAGAGGGTACAACGTAAACTGAGTGAGGTTACAGCGTAAACTGAGAGAGGGTACAACGTAAACTGAGTGAGGTTACAGCGTAAACTGAGTGAGGTTACAGCGTAAACTGAGTGAGGTTACAGCGTAAACTGAGAGAGGTTACAACGTAAACTGAGAGAGGTTACAGCGTAAACTGAGAGAGGTTACAACGTAAACTGATAGAGGTTACAACGTAAACTGAGAGATGTTACATCGTAAACTGAGTGAGGTTACAGCGTAAACTGAGAGAGGTTACAGCGTAAACTGAGAGAGGTTACAACGTAAACTGAGAGAGGTTACAGCGTAAACTGAGAGAGGTTACAGCGTACACTGAGAGAGGGTACAGCGTAAACTGAGAGAGGTTACAGCGTAAACTGAAGGAAGTTAGAGGTACCAGAACAGAGTGGGGGGGGGTTACATTAAACCATCACAGACTGTCTGAACGTATCTGGCTAATTTCTGGGAGAGTGCAGCTTTCCCTTTCTTTGTGCATCAAATCCTCTTATCTGTGGATTATTCCTGCTGCTGAAGAGAGTCCACACACTGATCTCTGTGTGGTACTGTGAGTGTGACTGTGTGTGTGAGTGTGTGTTTGTTTCTGTGTCTAATTGGGGTTTAATGTGTGTTAATGTTCGGGTTGCCTTGGGTCACGCGAGTAAAATGCCCCTTTCACCCCGGCCGATACCAGCGCCGGTTATTGTTGGAGTTTATTATGAATATGTGTCAGAGGCAGATAAAGGGACAGCTTTAGAAGCAGTGGCTGCTACGACATAAACATCATCTCCATGAGTATGGATCCATCTTCAATCATCATTTCATGGAGAAATGTTTGAAAATACAGCCAACAAGTTTTTAGTTTAGCCGAGAAATCCTCACAAACCTCCACAGTGCTCTGATGCTGTTGTTCATGCTTTATAAACGTGGACAACAGAGAAACATAAATTCTTCATGAGGTTGGAATTGAAATAAAAAAGGAAAGTGAAACTTATGCTCATCACCCTCTCCCTCCGGTCCACATTAATACAAATTGTCCTAATACGTATTATCTTCTAGAGAATTCGAACGGCTCTTATCATGGCTGCTACTGAGGTACTTCCAGGTCATTTCACTCCGTTAGGAAGGTTCCTAAGAGAAACTGACAATTCGACCGCAGCCTGTGTATCAGGAGCAGATGTGGTTACACACACTGCCCACCAACACTACTAATGAATCAAACACAGTGAGAGGATGTGTCATTTTAGTTTATATTGTGTTCATTTCAAACCTTTATTTATGCAGGTGAATCCCATTGAGATCATTGATCTGTTTTTCAAGGGTGACCTGCTGACCTGTTAATAGTTTCTTGTTTTCAATCAATCAATGTTTATTTATAAAGCCTAATATCACAACCTTTACATTTGTCTCAGTGGACTTTACCGTTTGTACAGAATATGTAAACCCCCAGTTAATGGAAGAAACCCACCAGTTAATGGAGAAACCCCCCAGTTAATGAGAGAAACCCCCAGTTAATGGAGAAACCCCCCAGTTAATGAGAGAAACCCCCAGTTAATGGAGAAACCCCCCAGTTAATGGGAGAAACCCCCCAGTTAATGAGAGAAACCCCCAGTTAATGGATAAACCCCCCAGTTAATGGAGAAACCCCCCAGTTAATGGAGAAACCCCCCAGTTAATGGAAGAAACCCACCAGTTAATGGAGAAACCCCCCAGTTAATTGAGAAACCCCCCAGTTAATGATAAAAACCCCCCAGTTAATGGAGAAACCCCCCAGGTAATGGAGAAACCCCCCAGTTAATGGGAGAAACTCCCCAGTTAATGGAGAAACCCCCCAGGTAATGGAGAAACCCCCCAGTTAATGGGAGAAACCCCCAGTTAATGAGAGAAACCCCCCAGGTAATGGAGAAACCCCCCAGTTAATGGGAGAAACCCCCCAGTTAATGGGAGAAACCCCCAGTTAATAGAGAAACCCCCCAGTTAATGGATAAACCCCCCAGGTAATGGAGAAACCCCCCAGTTAATGAGAGTAACCCCCAGTTAATGGAAGAAACCCCCAGTTAATGGGAGAAACCTCAGGAGAGCAACAGTCTCTCCGTCCTTACTCAGGATGGACAGACTGCAATAGATGTTGAGTGTAAATGAAAAATATAATACATTTACAACAAAGCTACTCCAGATGCTGGAACATGCATGTGTCTATAAATAAATGTTTTAATTTTGAAACTTTTCGATGTTGTGTTTCCTGGAGCTTCTGGTTTCACAGAGAAGCCATTCTCTGAGAAACTGTATTTCACGGAGCTTCTGAAAATACTTGACTTGGTGAACAGTGACAGAAACTACAGCTGCTAAATAAAGCAGAGGTTGCAGGTTAGAGGGATTCTACTAAAATATTAATACCTGTGAGAACTCACTTCCTGTTATGAGCCGTTTCATAATAATGACTTCTGCATCAAACTGTTGCCTTTAATAAAGTAAGGAGCACTGAGAATAATTATAATCACATTATAATCATTACAACAGGGATTAGCATGCACTACAGATTACAATGCACTATAATCTGCATGGTAATAAATAAATATATAACAGATTAAAGTGAATCTTTACCAACAGGAAGGTCCTTTTGACAACGCCCGACTTTAGAAGTTATTCATGTCTTTTATTGTGAAAATAAATGATAGTTTGAATCGGCTCACCTTCTGTGATGAAGACGACGCGCTGCGTTTGATGGACGAACGTTTGAAGGACCCATTGGTTCCTCTCCGTCCTCGGCCCTCCATCTTCAGGAAGTTCAGTCCTCTACCTTCATCCTCTTCCTGTCTCTCCTGTCTGTCTGTCTGTCTGTCTGTCTCCTGTCTGTCTCCTGTCTGTCCTCCTGTCTGTCCTCCTCTCTCCTGTCTGTCTCCTGTATGTCCTCCTGCCTCCTGTCTGTCTCCTGTGTGTCCTCCTGTCTCCTCTCTGTCCTCCTGTCTGTCTTCCTGTCTCTCCTCCTGTCTCCTGTCTGTCTCCTGTCTGTCTTCCTGTCTCTCCTCCTGTCTCGTGTCTGTTTGTCTTCCTGTCTCTCCTCCTGTCTCGTGTCTGTCTTCCTGTCTCTCCTCCTGTCTCTCCCCCGTCTGTCTTCCTGTCTCTCCTCCTGTCTCCTGTCTGTCTCCTGTTTGTCTTCCTGTCTCTCCTCCTGTCTCGTGTCTGTCTTCCTGTCTCTCCTCCTGTCTCCTGTCTATCTCCTGTCTGTCCTCCTGTCTCCTGTCTATCTCCTGTCTGTCCTCCTGTCTCCTGTCTATCTCTTGTCTGTCCTCCTCTCTCCTGTCTGTCTCCTGTCTGTCCTCCTGTCTCCTGTCTGTCCTCCTGTCTCTCAGGCTGCAGTGTTGTGATGCGTTCAGGGCCCCCCCGACCCCTCAGCTATCAGGATTAGTGGAGGTGGGGCTCCGCTCCAATGGAAGCAGATCTAGTGGCTGCTGATTGGAGGAGAACAGAGGGATTGAGATGCAGCTGCATTCTAATAATAATGTGATTTAAATAAAGCCCATGTTTTTACAGAAAGACATTTAATGTTGAAGTTATAATGTAGCTTAAACACACACACACACACAGATTATAAAGGATTATTGAGGCAGCAGCTCAGGGGTTAATGCTTTTGTGTCTATGTGAATCTGAGAGGAAGTAGAAATAAATCATTCATAAAGTATTTATTCTGTGCATTTTAACAAATATTAGAGTGCATTTTAATAATAGATTAATATATTTCTATATTCTGTAGTGAAATTATTATTTTAAATTCCTTTCTCACTATGTATTGTTGGTTATATTTATTTTACATTGTGACTTATTGCTTCCCTTATATAAATATATTTATATTTTGTATTTAAAAAACACATTGGTTTATATATTTTTACATATTTATTGCAAAACCTATTTTTTTTTACATATGAATTGTTGTGAATGCAGATATTTGGTATCACATTTATTTTAGTTTTCACTTTAAAGTAACATCCATGCCCACCCGCAGTCTGAACAGAGGGTCCTTCTGTGGGCCTCAGAGTGCCGCGGTGCCCCTGCTGGTCCTCCAGGGGGTCAGAGGGTCCTTCTGTGGGCCTCAGAGTGCCGCGGTGCACCTGCTGGTCCTCCAGGTTGGTCACCTGGAAGACCAGCAGGTGCAGGCTGTCAGGGGGTCAGAGGGTCTTCCTCTAGTCTCAGGGCTCCTTCATACCCACGAGCAATATTCTGACTTTTTCCAAAATTCTGAAATCTTTTCACAAAATTTCAAAATCATGATAGTTTTCTTGAAATGTCAGATTCCCAACTTTTTTTCTCAACATACAGATGAAGCGTCTTATTTTGGACAGTTTAAAGTGCGAGGGTCGTGATCGGTTCATGCACGTTCCGTGATGGCCGGCCGGCCCCCAGTCAGACTTGATACCGCCCCCATGATAAATACATTTAATTATTGTGAAGCCAGCTGCAATGGATCATTGATCCACCAGGGGGTGCAGTGGGGTTCCACACTGGAGTCATGTGAAATCAACTTCTAAATAATAGATGTTGTTTAGTCGGAAAAAACGAACGAGCCGGCTCTCCCGATTTTTAATCCTAATTTAATCATCATCATTGATGTTTATGTTCGCCGAATTGACATGAAATCACTGACAAATATGAATATTCTGTATTCAACTTCATTGAAACGATCAGGATGGGTGTTATTTTTCCCCACAATGACCAAGTCGCTGCAAATGATCCCATGTATTACATGTACATGGCCACATTCTCAACAAAGTTACGTAACGAAACATTCTGTATTCCTTGCTTACTTTTTATTTAATGCTTTATAACAGCTGGAATAGTTCGTTTAGAACAGGCACCTCACTCGCAATCTGCTCCTCCGCAACGCCTACCACCTACCTCCGGCTGAAATTATGAATGTACAGTAAGGCATAGTAATCATAGATAACACGGCAGGGTCCGTTACAGTTTGTTTTCATCTGATTTCAAATATTTCAAATGTCTGAAGTTAATAAATACATTCTGAGTGTTCAAGTCAATAATAGTCATATAAGAAAAGTACTGATCTAATAACAGAGATTTTATAAGGACTTTTCAATGTTCGACATCGCTCATGTGAAATACAGTAAACTGGATGTTGTGGTGCCGAGAGGCGGGGTATCAAAAGTACAAGCTAAACTTTTATTTAGCATCTGAACACACTTGTAAACAACGTGATGCCCGGGAAGCGAAGACCCGGCGGAAACAGCTGGTCTGGTTCACTAAAATGTCCGTGTACAGTATATCTGGTACTAATGTATAGCGGATCTTTGTTAAGATCCATATGTCACGGATAGATATTATATATAGAGATGGGATGGCAGAAGGTGCTATATATATATATATAATTCCAAAGCTGGTAAAGACCTTTCAAATTTAGCAATAATAGTCATATAAGAAAAGTACTGATTTGTTCTTGAATATTATAATAAAATAAACACCGGCTGTTGTTATGCCTGCTGTAACGTTTACTTTCTCCGTTCTCCGCTTAAGTAATTATTACTTCCTGGTTAGCTTTCCGCTCGAAATTTAAATCTGAAAATGGCAAAATAACGGAGAAAAAAACGTTCACAGAGAAGACGACAACAATTGTCACTTGCACTTGTCATTTAGCATCTGAACACACTTGTAAACAACGTGATGCCCGGGAAGCGAAGACCCGGCGGAAACAGCTGGTCTGGTTCACTAAAATGTCCGTGTACAGTATATCTGGTACTAATGTATAGCGGATCTTTGTTAAGATCCATATGTCAGTAGAGATGGGATGGCAGAAGGTGCTATATATATATATATATATATATATATATAATTCCAAAGCTGGTAAAGACCTTTCAAATTTAGCAATAATAGTCATATAAGAAAAGTACTGATTTGTTCTTGAATCAACTTTTTTATGGAAAATGTTTTATGTAATTTTATTTCATTTTAAATAAAATGAAAGACATTCACAGTTAATGTAATTAGATATACATTATTAATGCCATACATTTTTAAATGTAATTAGATATACATTATTAATGCCATACATTTTTGCATAAATATTTATTCAGTATGATAGCTGTCTAACAGAAGTTAAATCCATTTCTCACTTATTCTGACAATGTACTTAACCCCAAATAAAAGAACCCAATAAAAATAGTTGTTAAATAATAGTGAAGTCACGTTGTAATAACAATAACTCATATCTCTCGGTTTTTTTTGTTTTCTTTGTGTGCTTTGCCAAAAGCCACTGTGTCAAGTGTCCTAGTTGGGTTACCGTAACGAACAGCAGCCGGCTCTCGATTTTTAATCCTAATTTAATCGTTTATGTTCGCCGAATTGACATGAAATCACTGACAAATATGAATATACTGTATTCAACTTCATTAAAATGTTATTAACGTGCCTAAACTCAGTAATTCACTAAAAATTACTGATCCCTCCGCGTCGCGGAGGGATCTTGATCCCTGGGTGTTATTTTTCCCCATAATGACCAAGTCGCTGCAAATTATCCCGCTTATTACATGGCCACATTCTCAACAAAGTAACGACATGACTCCCAATATTAATTAAAATGCTTTTATGGATTTAGAAAATATTTTTATTGATTTAAAACATAGTTCTATGTATTGATTTAAATTGACATGCATCCGCTAAGAAAAATAGTCCGTTGTTACCGTTTTTTAAACAGTCAGAATGAAACGGCAGCTCTCAGCTGTGTGTTCACACTCCTAACTCTGATCTTTCTTTTCCAACAGTTAAGTTAACTGTAGGTTACTCTGAGTGACAAGCTTACAGTTAGTGAAGTAACACTTTTTTTTTGTGAGTCACGACCTCGCTGTTTCATTCTAACATAACGCTCCAAATATGACTGTTTCCACTCGGACTTCAATACAGCAACACCATTGTTTGGTTTCCATGGTAGCGTGTCTCTTTAGTAGCGTGCACTCCTTTCCTGTAAATTACAGGTCCAGCCAGGCAAAACAGTAATATGAAATATGAACGTTAGTTTTTAACTGAAATGATCAAATAAAGTCAAAATGTCACAGTGTTTACAAACATTGACCATACCGTTCACCAGCCCCCACCCCACTCTTTGTTTAAAACGAATTGGCCATTGGAATGTGTGTGTCCCAACCCCCCCCTGTGATATCTCTTCACAGGGGGGAGAGAGTTAGACGCTCGTGAATTGTCAAGGGGGGGGGGGGGCCTCTCTGCACGGAGGAGCCGCGGAGAAGTGAATCACAGTGATCTGCTATTTTAAAGTAAATTCAACACATATCGACCCTAAATATAGCATATATTAAGAACGAGAAAGTGTTAACATCGTTTTTTGTAAACATATGACCAATGTGCGAGGGTGATGACATCAGAGCATCGTCCTATGGGCTTAGCCCCGGACAGGTACAACAGGTATTCACTCAGAGGGGGGTAGTTACCGATTTACATGTCAAAAAGCAACATACAGTAGGCGGGTGGGGGATGGTGAACGTTTACATTTCTCTACAGCAGTGGTTCCCAAACTTTTTGTGCCCAAGGCACACCAAAGGACAAGTAAAAATCTCAAGGCACACCTATTGTGCGAAATAGCCCTTATAACACGTGTTATCACTCATATCATGTAAAATATCTGTAAATGTGCATAATTATTTACTAATGCCAAATAAAATGTATAGATAGAACAATCAGTGGTTCAAGTTAGTATATTCCTCAGTGTAACATATCCACTAGTTGCAAAGCTTAAACATTTTTATATATTTTTTTATTTTAAGGGAAAGGATGTTTTCACTACTCAGTTTGTCAACTATGTTACGGACAAACTTGATGTCATTACAATCATTTGATTAAGTCCTGCACTTCAAGTAAAATCAAATTTGAAAGGCTCTTGAGTCTATTCTACCATATATCCAAAGATTTTTTAAAGTTTAAAAAATAATTGTATTAAAGTTTTGTTTTTTCATGTGATATGTTCAGCACTGTCATTAAGTTTAGGGATATTTTGTATTATAAAACTACCATACAGGTCATTTTGATAGTTTTAAGAGATGTCATGTAAAACTCCAACCTGTGTAGATATACATTATACTATAAAGGATATCAGAAGCACTATTTTAGATATTTTAAATTTGAAAAAATGAGGTGCAACATAGTTGACAATGAAAGTCAAACATTTGACGCAAATAACATAGTTGACTGGACACATTATTAACCATCAGCACTATGTTCATTTCAAGGCAGAAGTGCAAAATTCCATTGATAATGATGTGTAATGACGTCTACATGTCGTACAAATTGTCAACTAGGTTACCTGTCAACTAAGTTACTACAGTTATTACAGTACTGGGTAACTCAGTTGACAGGTAACCTAGTTGACAATTTCCCTATTTTGACCCATCATTTCAATGGTAGGCCTTGCCTGGATGACCACATGTCATTTTCTTGAACAGGTTAACATCACATTTGCACATATAATTGAATTAAAATCATTAAACAATTGTAAACCATAACAATGTACGTAACATTGTTGATTGTCAATGAGTATATTAATTGACCATGTGCTATTATACATAAAATATTGTAAAAATGTAGAGGTCAATCACCACAGTGTGTTCAAAATGTCTGCCAAAGAGGAACATGGCATCATGTGATGCTGGTGACATGGTATTGGGACAAACAATTTTTGAGTTAAAGGGGGAAGTTCTGTTAGTAACATAGTTGACAGAACTTTTGCGGACATTCATATATTAAGATATTTCAATTATTTAAAGGGGGAAATCAATTAAAAATATGTTATTATTCTTTAGTATTTAGACTTTTGAAATAAATGAATCATTTTTTAAATTTACTTTAATGGTTTTTATTCATTATTTTGAATCCAAGACACCCTCAACTGAAAAACGGACATAGCAAAAACTGACAATTTAAGAACATCATGACACATTTCAAGCTAAATAAAGCATAGGATGCACATAATGTTTGTGTGATATTATAACATGCTTTCCAATAATAGGCAAAATATGATATTTTTGAAGAAAATAGTTAGAATAATTATAATTATCATCAATGGACATCAATGGACATGGAATGTACCCTAAATTGTAGAATCACTCAGCAGTTACATACACCAAACCTTCCAGTTATATTCCTATCAATATTATGAAGGCTTTTACAGAAGGGTTTGGTCATATATAATTCATAGCCTGAATTATATAACATTTTATACCTAAAAACATGGTGAAAATTGATATTTTAGGGCTGTTGACAGTATTTTCTGATTTATGGAGTGATACAAAGAGATATCCAAAATCCCTTCTGTAAAAGCCTTAGATACTAATATGACTACAAAATGAAACAATAATTTTGATCCTGGCTTTATCCAAAGTTCAGATTTCGGTTCCTGAAATGTGTTAAAATATGCGCATATTTCATGAGATAATGGTTCATTTGGATATTTAAACATGCTATTTCAGAAAACTTGTAATACAAAAAACAATTGCCTTATTGTAAGTAATTAACTGGAGAAATATTTAGCTGATATCTTTAAGTTAAAAATACCCTATTCACCTGGGGTGTCTCGCCTTAATTAGATGTTTGATAAGTGCAGATCACATAGTAAAACACGTACACAGATACATTATTTTGTATTTTTATTAAATTCGACAATGTCAATTTCACTTTCCACTATGTCCACCGTTGTTTTTCACAACCAATGGCAGAACTTTATTGAGGCCTGTAATTAGTCAACTACAGGTCTCTTGAGTCAGTCTTTTTCTTCCAAAAAGCTTGTGACAAGATGTTATTGCTCTTGGGGCATTAAAAACAAGATTTTAACTTTAGTTTTTTATATAATATCTGCATTTTCTATTGTGAAAAACGAAGTCTTAGTTATTTAATATATAGCGCCATCTCCTGGTTAAACCCTGAAATTGGAGAATAGTGGGAGGGCCTAACATTCCTGAATACTGGTCTTTGGCAGGCAACTGGCTGGCAACTGGCTGGCAGTCGGCAGGAAGCTGTATGCTGGGGTCCAAAATAAGAGGCTCCATCTGTACTGATTTTTTTATAAAAATGTCAATGTTATGACTTGTCTAAAAATCTCTAAATTCTGCTTTTTCTCTATTTTCAAAACTTGACGTTTAAAAAAAACGCAGAATTTGGGTATTTTTCTCCAAATTCTGCCTTTTTTCGAAAATTCAGATATTTCAAAAATCTCCAAATTCTGAATTCTTCTGAGGATCTCAAAGCGCTCAGGAGAAACCATGTTCTGATCGCCAGCCACAGGATGTTATGAAACATGTCACTTCCTGCCGCGTTCACCGGACGGATGAACAAGATGGAGAATGAAACATGTCACTTCCTGCCACGTTTACCTGAGGGATGAACATGATGGAGAATGAAACATGTCACTTCCTGCCACGTTCACCTGAGGGATGAACATGATGGAGAATGAAACATGTCACTTCCTGCCACGTTCACCTGAGGGATGAACATGATGGAGAATGAAACATGTCACTTCCTGCCACGTTCACCTGAGGGATGAACAAGATGGAGAATGAAACATGTCACTTCCTGCCACGTTTAACTGAGCGATGTGTCAGCTGCCTCAGCCAACATTAATCATCCTTCCAGTATCAATGGAACATTAAATTAAGACTTTTCAAACACTTTCATAGAAATCGTTGGCGAAAGCTTTGCAAAGTAAGAAGTTACACACATATATATATACTTGTGTATATATACTCGTATACAGAAGGATTCTTGTACATGTTTTGATTCGTTTTAACATTTCAAAAAAGGCTTTAATGCATCTGACTGAATTATCTTGGATAGATGAAATTACTTTATGAAAATGAGGCAATAACGATGTAGACTTTTAAAAATTAAAGGTTTTTATTTTAATATATATTTCTTAGCAATAATTTAATTAACGAATCACCAAAAAAACAGGCTGGTTCCCTGTATTGACATCACAGTCTGTAGACCTGCTGCTAGTGAGAGAAAGAGCAGATAGTCCAGTTCATCAGTCCAGAACATCAGTCCAGTTCATCAGTCCAGAACATCAGTCCAGAACATCAGTCCAGTTCATCAGTCCAGTTCATCAGTCCAGTTCATCAGTCCAGAACATCAGTCCAGAACATCAGTCCAGAACATCAGTCCAGTTCATCAGTCCAGAACATCAGTCCAGTTCATCAGTCCAGTTCATCAGTCCAGTTCATCAGTCCAGCCTCCCAGTTCACCCATGGTTAGGCGAAGTACCCCCACAGGAACACGTTGATGGTCAGCAGCAGCAGTGCATTTATATTGCAGACGTTCCTCCAGAGCGGCGCCTCCTGCAGAGAGTTCAGCCCGATGCCTTCAGGCTCCGCAGCCTCAGAGCCGGGAGCATTCAGACCGCAGAGCCTCAGAGCAGCCCTCCTCCACCAGGAGGTCACCGGGCCAGAGGTCACCGGGCCAGAGGTCACCGGGCCAGAGGTCACCGGGTCAGAGGTCATCGGGTCAGAGGTCACCGGGCCAGAGGTCACCGGGCCAGAGGTCACCGGGCCAGAGGTCACCTGGGGAGCTGTGAGGTCGAGGCGAGGCTCCTGGCTGTGTCTGGACCACCAGGTGAGCCTGTAGAGCTGCAGAGAGAGGGGCTCACTTTAATAATATACCTTCTAATGTTAACCTCTTCAGGCTTCACGTCCTCATTAAGAACATCAGTTACTCTATGTGCACCAACAGTTTGACCTTCAACCTTCTGTTGACCTGAGGACCCCCTGATACGCCACGCCCCCTCCCTCTGTGTTTCACGATGCAACCCAAACTCTACCCCGGGTCTTTCTGCAGACAGTATCTCTGTATGACTGAGAAATACAATACAGCAGCTTAAAGTTTGAGTCTTTATTCACACACTGATTTCTGACTACCATGAGTAGTGTTGGGACCATTAGATACAGAGAGCACAGGATGAACATCATTACCTCTACTGTGGACAATTTACTTTCAAATAAACAAGCAATCCGTCCAAATGACCCCCTAAATCTTCTACATTGACCCTAAATTCATTTAACTAATGAAAATCAGTCCACTGAGACCCTGAACAATGTCAGAAATGGAGTCAGCGTCCTCAATAACCCCCAGGACCCCTCAGAACTGTCCAAATCAGTCAAGCCACAGCCCACCTAGGCTATAATGGAAATATGATCGTGTTTTGATTTGCGGAGACTTCAATGTCCATGTGTGCTGCGAGTCCAAACCTCTGGTTAGGGACTTTTTAAATCTTCTCGATTCTTTCGGTCTTATTCAGTCCGTGGCTGGTCCAACACACAATAAAGGACTCACCTTAGATTTAGTATTATCGTTTGGACTGTCTGTCTCTGTGGATGAAATATGTGCAGCAACGCGTATCTCAGACCATTTACCGGTTCTGTTTACAACTTCCATCCCTTCCTCAGGAGTCGAATCACGTGCCCCGGCGCGTCGTCTGCGTTCGATTAACCCCTTGACTGCCTCACAGTTCTCTGATGTTTTTAATGCTTCTCCGATCTGTAAATTAGAGGTGAACTGTGCTCTTAATGCTGATGAGCTTATCTCCATGTTTGACTCGACATGCACACTAATACTGGATTCTGTTGCTCCTTTTACGCTTAGACGCACCAAAGTTCTCTCAGAGCCGTGGCTCAATGACTGTACTCGTGCTCTCAGACGCGCTTGCAGGCGTGCAGAGAGAAAATGGAAAAAGGATAAACTCCATGTCTCACTAGAAATCCTTGGTGCTTGCCTTTCTGACCAGACGGCAGTCAAAGCAGCCGAAACAGAGCACATTTCTCTTTTATCATTAATCCCTGTGATGCTTCTCCAATTGTGCCATCGACTTTCTGTGATACATTTCTTAAAAATGTTATTGAAAAAGTATCTGCTCTTAGGCTAGCCCACACTAGTGCTACCCCAGATCCTGCTCCCTCTCTGTGCTCTGCTGTCCTCGACCACTTTGAGCCTGTATCCCTCTCTGTGCCCTGCTGTCCTCGACCACTTTGAGCCTGTATCCCTCTCTGTGCCCTGCTGTCCTCGACCACTTTGAGCCTGTATCCCTCTCTGTGCCCTGCTGTCCTCGACCACTTTGAGCCTGTATCCCTCTCTTCTCTCTCGGATGTAGTCAAGCACCTGCGGCCGACAAACTGCACCTCAGACAGCATTCCCTCTCGCCTTCTCAGAGATGTTTTTGATTCAGTTGGAGCAAGTGTTGTATTACTTTTAAACACCTCTCTTACCTCAGGATGTGTCCCAGCTGCCTTCAAACATGCCGTGGTGCAGCCACTACTTAAAAAGAAAAATCTCGATCCCTCCATTCTCGCAAATTTTAGGCCCATCTCCCAGCTACCTTTTTTATCAAAAGCCCTGGAGCGAGTAGTCTACGCCCAGCTGCAGTCTTTTTTAACCACGCATGGAATCCATGAAAAGTTTCAGTCTGGCTTCAAACCCATGCACAGCACTGAAACAGCCCTTTGAAGAGTTCTTAATGATCTGCTCCTAGCCGCCGACTCAGGTAGCCCAGCTGTCTTGGTGCCGTTAGACCTGACAGCTGCCTTCGACACTGTGGACCATAGCATCCTGTTGTCACGGCTTGAACAGTCCGCAGGCATCACAGGCTCTGTCCTTGCATGGTTCAGGTCCTACCTGACAGACCGTAGCTTCTCAGTGCAGCTAGGTGCCTTCTCCTCTGCCAAAGCCCCTCTTACCTGTGGGGTTCCCCAAGGCTCGATTCTGGGTCCCATCCTTTTTCTACTGTACATACTGCCCCTAGGTTCAATTCTCACAAAACACAACATCCCCTTCCATTGTTATGCTGATGATGTACAGATCTATCTGCCTCTCAATCAAAATGCCAACTCACTACAGCAGCTGATGGACTGCTTAGCAGAGATCAAATCCTGGCTGAGCCAAAACTTCCTCAACCTCAACGAGAGCAAGACCGAGGTCATCTTTTTTGGACCCCAACCTCCAGCCTCTCCGGTTGATATTCTGGGCTCCCTCAATAAAAACATCCTCCCCTCTGTCATGAACCTTGGAGTGACCTTCAATAGCGCTTTTAAATTTGATAAGCAGGTCAGCACTGTAGTCAAGACCTGCTTTTTAAAAATACGACTATTGGCTAAAACCAAGTCGCCCTGAGCCTGTTTTTCAGGTCTCAGGCTCCAAAATGACATTCCCAGAACAAATGACCATATCTTCCCTTCTAAAAGGGTTAAATTAATAATATTTTTTCTCAAAGTAATGATAAACCTGTGAGTTGGATGTAGAAAAGTCAGAATCAATATAGATGTTTTTTAGTTTAAAGAAAATTCAGATTTTACATAGTAAAAAACTGTAAATTATAGTGTCCATCCAAAACTTCTTTTTTACTTGGATGATGGGTTAGTAGACTAAAAGCTTTAGGAATCCAAAGTACAACATATAATAAGTACCCTGTATCAAGATTGATGCAAAACAAGTGACATTTGACCTTTTTAGAGAGATTTAGCCAAAAACCCCCCACCTCTGAGGTGATTTGGGTGGAAATGTTTTTTTTTCCATATCTCTGGAACCCATTGCTCGATTTTGATGGTTGACACCTCTTTCTGACCGTTAGAGCCAATAGAATCGAAGGGGGAGTCCCACACACACACACGTTGTGAAACAAAAAGGTGGGGGCTTTGCGCATGTAATTTTGTATTAGAGTGAAGCGACACTCCAGCTCTGACATCTAGAAACGGAAAAGCATGGATTATCCGTCTCATTGCTCATGGATTATCAGAAATCATTTCAAAGGGACACAGACACATTGGATTAACCTATGGATTAACTTCAGCAGCGTTTTTATCGTTTTAATGCCATTGAAGACCACTTTGGAGAGACTACAGAGCCAAGGTAACCTTGTTAGCATATTTAGCTACCTAGCGCCACATGTTTTGATGTCTGTTTTTGTTTAGAACATCGCGATTTTGTATAATTCAGTGATAATGAGGGTACCCATCGATTCTGTGTCACCTCACGATGTGAAACGATGTCATGGATGTGGAGAAAAGATAAATAATAAGGTTTTGTGAGTGATTTTCAGTGCAGTAATCTGTTAGCATTTTTCGCTCGTTGCTAATTCAGAGGTTCAGTGTTAGCATTGTGGGTTTTCTTTTGAAAAAAAATAAAAATCATCAGTTGGATGAGTTTCTTCCCGTTACATGGATATAAAACATTCATAGTTTATTAAATGAACATGCCCTCAGACACTGTTTCCTGCAAGATGTTGCTGCAGTGCCCCGGTACCGGGGTCTCTCGGGCTTAACAGGTTAAGGTCTGCTGACCAGCTGCTGCTGGTAGTGCCCAAGACCAGGCTTAAAACCCGAGGGCACCGAGCATTCGCAGCATCGGGCCCTAGGCTCTGGAACACTCTGCCCCTCCACGTGAGGTCGGCCCAGACCCTAGGGTTTTTTAAATCAACACTTAAAACTCACTTCTTCTCTCTGGCCTTTTAGCCTTTTCTTATCAAGCTCCACTTTTGTGGAATCAGCTTCCAGTTTGTGTTCGGGCGGCCGATAGGCTATCCGTTTTAAGAGTACGCTTACGACCTTCCTTTTTGATAAAGCTTATAGCTGATATAATAATCTAATAAGAGTGCATTGACGCAGATACGCTGTGCCTCTTCACCTACATTTTGGTTCTTGCTCTTTCACTTAACCTCTTAAGCACGGCGGTCCCCCCATTGGACCCCTCCCACCGTTTTGTTTTCGAGATAATGTCTCAGGGCTTCTTAACATTAATGAAACTATTAATGTGTAGCACCAGATTAACGGGAAGAATCTCAGCTAACTGAAGATATGAACCATTTTTACCAAAACAAAACACAAGTCTCATAAGAAGCGTCTAAATGACCCCTGAGCGAAAACATTCTAACGCACTGCGGCACACAATTCAAGATAAAGATACCCTTATTACTTATCGTAGCTGCACATACAATATAGCCTATTAAAGCTGAGACTCCACTGATTATTTAGGTATAGTATCATCACTGAGCGATCCGAACTTGCGACAGGGGAAGCAAACACAGACATCACAACACGTACCTTTACGGAGCATTTACGGCAGATCGTCTCACCGTAGCTGTCAATTAGGTCAAAGACGTGTTCAATGGCATTAAAACGAAAGAAATAAAAATGCTATAACTGTTGATCCATAGGTTGATAATGTACCTGTGCCTTTGAAGAAATTATTTATAATCCATAATTCCATTTTTTATGTAAAAATCGGAGCGGAAAAGTTAGCTGCTAATGGTAGCCACCAGAGTGTATGCAGCTTCCGGTTTTGGTAACGCGTCACTCTCACTCCTTATTTGTTAACGTTTTGGTGTGTATATAACTTTCCCTCGATTCCATTGGCTCTAGCGGTTATAAAGAGATTTCATTCATCAAAATCGAGCAAGGGGGGCCAGAGATAGGTCAAATCCACCCAAATGACCCCAGAAGTGGGGTTTTTGGCTAAATCTCTCTAAAAAGGTCAAATTTCACTTGTTTTGCATCAATCTTGATACAGGGTACTTATTATATGTTGTACTTTGGATTCCTAAAGCTTTTAGTCTACTAACCCATCATCCAAGGGTAGTTTTCACTATAAGTAAAAAAGAATATTTGGACGGACACTATAATTTTTTTTATACGTTTTTTACTATGTAAAATCTGAATTTTCTTTAAAATAAAAAACATCTATATTGATTCTGACTTTTCTACATCCAACTCACAGGTTTATCATTACTTTGAGAAAAAAGATTATTAATTTAACCCTTTCAGAAGGGAAGATATGGTCATTTGCTCTGGGAATGTCATTTTCGAGCCTGAGACCTGAAAAACAGGCTGAGGGCTTAAGAGGTTAAATCCTAAAAACTTGGATCTTATATTGAAAAATAAGGTTATTACTACTACTCACTTTTCTCTCTCTACTTCTCATACTCTCTACTCCTGTAATCGATTCTTTCCATCCTCTCTTTATCAAAAACCTTTTCCCTCTCTGACCTCTCAAGGTTTTATTGGAGGGAAACAGGTTTGCAGAGAAGCTTATCCAGGCCGGGGAGTGTTATGACCGTATTCACAGCTTCCTCCCTACCTCTCATCATTTCCAACTAAGGCTCCAGTGGGGACTTTGCTCCCTGCGTGTGCCTCTCCACCTCTGTTTCTTACTCTCTTACTTGCTACCCTTTCCCCTCAACCTATCCTAAGGGAGTGCTTGTTCTTCTGTCTGTCTGTGTCTGTGTATTCTCATGTTCAGATTAACCCAGCCTCCCCCTCTGTGTCTATATCTACGCCGGGATCCGGAGTCGAGGCTGATCCTCTTGCTGTGGTCCTGTGTCCTGGATCCTCTATCCTGAGTTCTGGATTAAGTCGTGGACTACGGGTCGTGGCTGGGCCTGTCTCTGCGGTCCTGCCTGGGTCTCGTCATGCTGCTTCCCTGATGGCTCCCACAGGATTGTTGTTGACATCTTCTTGGATTCATCCTCTTATTATAGACACATGCATTTCCAAACATTTGGTCTACCTACGCTGTAAAATGTATTATCTCTTCGATTCACACACGGCATCTATTGCACGTCTGTCCATCCTGGGAGAGGGATCCCTCCTCTGTTGCTCTCCCCGAGGTTTCCCCCATTTTTCCCTTTGAAATGTGGGTTTTTCTCTGGAAGTTTTTCCTTGTACGATGTGAGGGTCTAAGGACAGAGGGTCTAAGGACAGAGGGTCTAAGGACAGAGGGTCTAAGGACAGAGGGTGTCGTTTTTCTCATACTGATATTCTGAACAAAATGTGCTGTTGTATTTGCTGTAAAGTGTCTTTACTGTAGGGTATTTTTATTATATGTACAGCACTTTGGCTCGACCAAAAATCGTTTAAAAATGTGCTATATAAATAAAACTTGATTTGATTTGATTTGATAATGCTAATTCATGCTAAATTAACACAACTGATGCTAACTGTGTAAATGTCCCAACATATGCAGGTTAGCATCCAGCAGTCTCTATGTGCTGGAGGCCCTACTATACATTTCTATCAGAACTCTTTGGGGGTCTCAACATGTCCGGGGTCAGGACTCTATGAGCTGCAAACACACTGTGAGGTCACAAAGAGTACATGTTTGTGGATGTATGTTCCTCACATGTTCTTCAGGGATGGGGGGCGTGGCCAGGCTGACAGCAGCGATGATGAGGCAGGTGAGAGCCAGCAGGATCAGGGCAAAGTGCAGATAGTGGACCTGAGCCAGGAGCGCAGGCCGGCCGTCAGGCTGCCCGCAGGCCGGAGCTTTGAAACTGAACTCCAGAACCATCCGGACCAGTCCCACCAGCAGCCCCCCCATCAGACCCCAGAACGCACCCTGAGGAGCACATGGACACATTAAAGAGTCACTGAGGCTGGGGACATTATAACACTATATCAAGTAGAACAATAACCCTGGTTTACTTTACACAAGAGAACCTCTGGAGTTTTGATTGATTGATTGAAAAGTTTATTAACAGCTTGTATATTGGGTACAGTACAGTACAGCTCAAAACATACAATTGTTAAGGGGATGCAGACCAGAGAAAGACTTTCGTCTTGTTTACATCAGGGTCCCCCATTTCCAATTCATCATATCATTTAAGACATATAAGACATATTTGACATACAGATGGCTTATTTACAATTTACATACAGGTGGTTTTTTACATACAGATGGCTTATTTACAATTTTCATTTTAGATTTCGTTCTAATACATCCTAACCGGACATTTAAGACATACCAAGTCTACAGATATACAGTTAGTAACAGAGTCTAAAATGCGAGTATATACATAGATGGGGGGGGGGAAGCTGTCCATTGTACGACAGGTTGAGATTTGTACCATTACCGGGGCCAGTTTTGCAATGCTTTCCCCCGAAGGTGCTCTTTAAGAGAGGTTTTGAAGGTAAGTATAGTTTTACTTTCCTTTACAGTTGTGGGAAGAGCGTTCCACCTTGATGTGGCATAATTGCGAAACGTGTATTCCCCTTTTTTTGTGCCAAATCTGGGTTTTACATGATTTGTGGAGCTCCCTCTGGTGTTATGATCATGGTATTCCTTGACCTTTGGGAAGAATGTTGACATGTACATGGGTACCATAGAGGTGTAGTGGATCTTGTAGACCAGGCCCATTGCAAGTAGCTGTACTCTGTCGTCTACTCTAAGCCATCCTAGGTTGTCAAAGTGGGCAGAGGTGAGGTGGGTTCTAGATGAAAGGTCAAGCAGTAGTCTGACCAGTTTATTTTGCGATGTTTGAAGTTTTATTTTTAGCGCCTTGGAGGTGCTATGGTACCATGACGTGCAAGCATAGTCATAGTACCCTTGAATGAGTGCTCCTGCCAGAGTTTTTTTGTGTTTTTGTTTACCAGAGAGGAGAACATTTCCTCTGTTCTCACTGGTTACTGGGGACCAAGATGTGGAACCAGTTTGGACATGTCAGTAAACTTAGGAACTTTAAAAATAAAGTAAAGAAAATAATTCCTCCTTACTGACTCTAAAACGACCCATGTTGTCTTTTTGCTTTATTATCTTCTCAGAGTTCCAGAAAGGGTAGTTTACATCGGCAGAGTTATATCAAACTGGCGAGTGTGTGTGTGTGTGTGTGTGTGTGTGTTTGTTTACCTGCTCGTTAGCACGGGGCCACAGGATGGCCATCAGGAAGACCGCGGTGATGGGAGGAGCCAGAAAGCTGGTCACTGATTGGATGTAATCGAACAGCTGTCCACTGTTGGCTGTCTGGATGACGGGAATCCACATCAGACTCACACACACCATGACCAGGACGAACACCCTAACATTAACACACATAACACATGTTACATACATGTATATAACACACATAACCCATATAAAACACATGTATATAACCCATATAACATACATGTATATAACAAATATAACACATGTATAACACATGAATATAACACATGTAAAAGACGTGTATACAACCCATATAACATACATGTATATAACAAATATAACACATGTATAACACATGAATATAATAGATGTAACATACCTGTGTATAACTCATGGAAAGGACAGGTTTAAAACACATGTAACATACATGTATTAGACATGTATATAACACTTATATAACAAATAAAACACATGTATATAACACATGTAACAGACATGTATATACATGCGGTGGTGGCGAAGTCCATAGGGACTTGGCTTGGCAACTGGAAGGTCACCGGTTCAAGTCCTGGAAAGACCAAGTGCTACCGACTGTCCCAGCTATGGGCAAATAGCAGGGGCAGATGGGGCTCATAGCCATGGAAGGCAATCCATCTAGGAGAAGGACACTCTGAACTAAAACCAGGACTGAGAGGAGTTGCGCCCCCCAGTCCTTAATCAGCATAGTAAAGCCAACCATGAAGTGGAGGGCTCGTCTGAGGACGACCTAGAGAGATATATAACACGTAACCCATGTAAAACACATGTATATAACACATGTAACAGACATGTATATAACACGTAAAATACATGTATATAACCCATGTATATAAAACGTTTAACCCATGTAAAACACATGTATATAACCCATGTAACAGACATGTATATAAAACGTTTAACCCATGTAAAACACATGTATATAACACATGTATATAACCCATGTAACAGACATGTATAAAACACATGTATATAACCCATGTAACAGACATGTATGTAACAGACATGTATATAACCCATGTAACAGACATGTATATAACCCATGTAAAACACATGTATATAACCCATGTAAAACACATGTATATAACCCATGTAA